TATAATTGACTTTTTGTATTGACCTTGTGTCCTATGACCTTGCTAATCTCACTTACTAGTTTTAGTAGCTTTTTAAAAAATATATATTCTTTAGGAGTTTCTATGCAGAGTTGTATCAACTGTATTTTGTTTTTTCCTTTTAAATAGATTTGTCATTTCTTTTTTCCTTTTTTTTTTTTTTTTTTTTGCTTTATTACACTGGCTAGGATCTGCCTGTTCTTCTACTTGATCTACTTTGTGTTCTGACCCCAACCATTTGAAAGCAAGTAGTATCACCAGCAATATTTATGTAGCTGAATACAGTGAATACTTTTCTGTCCTCATCTTAGGTATAATAAATAGCATTTGACACTATTATTAATCATTACATAACTTCTTTAAGTTATTTCCTTTCTTGGGTTCTCCTGGTTTTCTTTCTACTCATCTGGCTGTTCTCTCTCAGTATCCTTTGCTGCTTTATCTTCCTTTGTTAAACCTTAGAATCAGAATTTGTAAGCTGTGGACTCAAATGTGGTTTGCAGAAACCAATTTTTTTTTTTTTTTTTTTTGGCACAATGTTTTAACACTTTTGAAATAGAATACTTTAAAGTGAACAAGCAGTGCATAGTTAGCCACAAATCCCATTACTCTCCAATTCCAGGATGGATTACTCCATTTGTCTTACCCCCATGCCCCTAAACACATTGAGTTTTTAACCTCTGCTTGAAACGTTGGAATGTTTGTGGTCTCATCCAGATCCAGGACTTTAAATACATCTGTATACTGATAAATCCCAAAGATGTATCTCAAACTTTTACTTCTCCTGCAAAATTTGTTTGTATTTGTCAGAATGCTTATATGTTGTCCCTCCCCACATCTGTCAAAAATATTTAGAGATTTGTTGGCCTTTTTATATTGATTTAAAAGGTATAACACAAAGAATATTTGATGATTGAAATGTAGCAAGAAAATACATAATGCAGAAAGTAAAAAAAGGTTGAACAGATTATTTTAAAAATTCAGTTTATAATGGGAAATTATAAGAATATGTTTGCATAGGAGAGGAATGATTCAGTAATGAGAGAAAAATGGATGAAGGAAAGTGGGAGAATCACATAGGAAGGAAATCACTGAAAAAAATTGGAAGGAGATGGGAAGGCCTTTGAGAGGTAGAGCAACTTTTTTTTTTTTTTTCAAGTCATAAGATAGAAATCTGGTAATGGGGGTTGTAGATGTGTGGTTGAAGACAAGGGAGTTCCTCTCTCGTGCTGTACACTTATTGAAGGTCATCAGTTGAAAATTAGGAACATTCGATAGTTCTGAGGAGAGAAGGTATGAAATCGCAACTCACCAGGAAAATGTAGTAGGATTTCCAGGCAATACTGAGTGCCCTTCAGGTTTAGTGACATCAATTTAAAGACTGGCTTAGTCAGTGTGGGATGTGATTTCTCCAGCAATGTGCTGCTGATTGGATTCACGCAAGGGGACGGTTCCATCAGTGTTAACTTTTGCTAAGCAAATAGGATAATGGGAGAAAAAGGCAAGAAAGTTAAGGGTGTTTGCAAAGCAGTGATTATAAGGATGACTGAACTCTCAGAGGGGCAAAGATGGAAATACAGATAAGAAAGGAATAAAGACAAGTATAAATGTGATAAGATAGTTGTCTCCATAAAGTTAAAAAATTATTGCAGTAGAGGAACTAGAGAGTAAGTGATCTGTGGCGATCAGAGGATGGGCAGGAAAACTAATGGATACATCTGTCACTATTAGGGAGGAGTAAACTATGGGATACAGGCTGAAACCATGGTTAGAGAGGCTAAGAAGATGAGTCAGGGGACCAGTGATTTTTGCTTTAGTGAGTCACAAAATGATTGGAATTCTCCTGCTTTAAAACCTTTTGTTGGCTCACTAACCTATCCCCTATAGAATGGAGTGCCCTCAAAATAAAAAATGTAAAATTTAATCATTCTTGTATTCCTTTTATTTTCAAGTATCAGAAAGGCGAAAAGCATGTTTCCAGTAGCAATTTGATGTTATAGAGCTGATTAATTTATTCAGTGTAGAAGGGATTGAGGTATTTTGGAATGTCAAAAGTCTGCTATTCCATAAGTGTAGTGTTAATATTTTAGAATATTTCTCTCTAAATTTTTTTCTTTGCATGTATTTGTATAACTGATATTATGTAGTGGATAGTGGGTATCTTTTTTCTTAAACTTGCTATATGAACATTTTATTAATGAATTTTAAATATTGGAAATGCCTCTTCAAAGACAAAAGTCTTGTTAGAAAATGTTTGTGAAAATATTTGTAAATTGTAATGCATTTTCTTTTTATGGATTCTGGGCCACCTGGGAATTAAAAGATTCCAATATTCTCTTAGAAACCTTTGAGTTGATCAAGGAAGAAGAGTCCAGTAGTGGAATACTTACAAAATAATGAAAATACATTATATATCTAAAGTTGCTATCAATATAGTGCCACTTTCTCATGTTTTTATTTAAATAAATAAAGCAAATTGAATGAATTAATTATTTAACCAAAGATTTTAGATAAAGAATGAAAAACTTGTAATCCCAGCACTTTGGGAGGCCAAGACAGGGAAATTGCTTGAGTCTGGGAGTTCCAGACAAGCCTGGGCAACATAGTGAGACCCCTGTCTCTACAAAAAGTTTTAAAAAATTAACTGAGTGCCTGCCAGTAGTCCCAGCTACTCAGGAGACTGAGGATGACAGGATCACTTGAACTTGGAGGCAGAGGTTGCAGTGAGCTGAGATTGTGCCACTGTATTCTGGCCTGGTTGACAGAGCAAGACCCTGTCTCACACACACAAAAAAAGAAAAATTGCAAATGGAGGAAACATGGCAAATAGGAAAACAAGTTATAAAATATAATACAGTTGTTAAATTCAAGAAATAGAGAAAAAATAGATATATTCCTAATAAATACAGTTAAGAAAAAAAAATCTCAATGAAATAGACTTTCTACAAAACTATCAGTATTTTATAGAGGTAGACTAGGATTACTAAGGAGGAAATTGAGAAAATTATGATAGTACCAGCTATCAAAAAGGTTTTTGGAACTAATAGATTCACTGATAAATCTTTTAAATTTTTAAAGAAAATTGAAGTTGCTTATATAAAATAAATACTGAACAATGTTATGAAACAAGAAAATGAGGGCATTCTAAAATACTGATTAATCTTAGTTATGACCATATATGTGTGAAAATGTTAAAGAATATGCTAGCAAACATTTAAACGTCTGCTCTACCACTACTGTGTAAGAGATGTGAACATGTTTCAATATAAAGAAATTTATTGACTTGGGAGGCTGAGGTGGGAAGCTCAAGTGCTTGAGCCCAGAGTTTGAGTCCAGCCTGGGCAACATAGCAACAACCTGTCTAAAAAATAAAAATAAAAAAAATGTTGCCATCCTTTATCAGGTTTAATTGGGGAAAAAGATGCTATAATGTAGTTTGAGCTAATTTAGTGTTCATTTCTAATCAAATTATTTGAAAATGAAAATACTTTCATATCATGATAGAATATACTAACTGGTATTAAATCCAAAAGGAAAATACCTTTTAAACTTGTCACCATTAGTATTTAATTCGACTTTAATTCAGCATTGTTATTTAGTGTGATCTGTAGATTGGTGCCAGTCCATGATTTGCTTGTTACTGGTCTATCAAGAGATAAGTATAGAAATTGAGAGGAAGTGTTTAGAAACTTTTATAGTAGTTTGATAGAGTAATTTCATCTTTTTTTAGACCTAGAAATCAAACATTTGGGCTGGTGTTTTATATCTGGGGCTTATATTAAGACTTTTAAATTTCATTTTTCTAGTTATTTTTACTAGTTTTAAAAATTAGCTTATTTGTCATTAATTTTTGTTAACATTTTAGTAAAGTGTCAGTCTGTGATGAATTGGAAGTAGGAGAAACTGGTCCTTCCCCATAAGTAGTCTGAGAAGCAGTTCTGTGAATCTTGCCACTAATTTAAGAGTAAATAGTTGGAGGAGACAAATGTATCACATTCATGGGTGATATAATAATGTTGTATATTGAGAAGAGCCAGGGATCCTTTAGAAACTAGTAGAGCTATAAAAATTCAATCAAGTGAATTCCCAACTTAAAGCTGGAGTGAATACTTCAGCTTTAGGTTTGGAATATTTTTTTCAGTTTTATTATTATTTTATTATTATCGAGTTGTAAAATATTATGTAGAACCAAATCTATTGATTTAATGATGAAACCTAACAAAAAATATAGTGGAAATGCCAGTGATTCTTCCACACTTCAAGAGATGTGTAGTAGGACCCACGAATTGGCCCAGCCCTCGCGTGCACCATGTTTGGCCCCTTCTAGCGTTGCCGCGGTGAAGCAAGTGGCTCAACAGCTCTGGCTGAAGGCCGAACTCAACCATGTAAATGTTTCCCAGGCAGCTGCAGACTTGAAACAATTCTGTCTGCAGATTGCTCAACATGACTCTCTGCTGACTGGAGTATCTTCAAGTACAAATTCCTTCAGACCCCAGAAAGTCTGTTGTTCCTTTTTGTAGTAAAATGAACCTTTCAAAGGTTTCCCAAGCCACTTCTCATGATACAGTGAATATTCAAAAGAGAGCTACATTTGAAGCCTGTACAAAAGCTTATCCCTGGAACACATGTGCCATAATATACAAACTTCTACTTTTGTCAGTCCTTAATATCTACCTTTCTGAATTTTCATGAATTTCTGTTTCACAAGGGTAATTGTTTTGTATACGCTGGCAGTGGCATACAATGAAACTTAGTATCCAAGATTTTTTTGTATTAAAGAAAGAGACGTGTAATAATGGGAAGAGGTCTAAAATGTGGTTAATATTGTGAGAAACAGAACAGCTTTACATTTTCTAAACTTTGATGAGAATGTCATTAAATAGGAAGCTATGTGATACATGAGTGGACATTTTAATCTAAATATTAATATGTATGGTAACTCAGTTAATGACTTAGCATGTTTTCCTTTAAAATTTTTGTAGAAAACAGAATCTTGGCATTGTCTTCCTCAAGAAATGGACCCTTCCCAAACCTTGGATACATCCCAGACCAGGTTTAATGTGAGAAGAGAAGATACTGAAGTGTCAGACTTCCCCTCTCTGGAGGAGGGTGTATTGACCCAATCAGAAAATCAAGTAAAGGAACCCAACAGAGATCTCTTCTGTTCTCCATTGCTAGGTAATGCCTCTTTATTTTAACTAGTAGTAATACCTCACATTTGTAAGTTTTGCGGGGACTGCAAGTGTTAACTTTACCCTTTTTGAGTGAAGGAGCTCTGTAGAGACCTACTCAAAGGGGTAAACTTATTTCTGTTTTTTTAGTTTGTTTGTTTTTGTTTTTTTTACTGGTTAGCTGATCTAGTTATATTAAGTGTGCAGTTGCCTGTCATTTTGTCACATCCTGTTGCTCACAGAAGGCAGAAAGGTGATAACTGTCTACTGTGTGTACCTCCTCAGTCTTGAATTTGCAGAGTTTTTGGGATGAATAATATATTATACTTTGGTTCTCTCAGCAGTGGAGACTCCATGATCCCCCCCAAAAAAAACAAAAAACAAATGTTCGTATTTACCTTTTTTGATTTTTAGAATTAATTAAGTCATGTGTTATTATCCTCAGCTTTCAAACCAAAAGTTGACATAAAGAGGAGTGGCTTGTCTGAGGTAGATCTTGCTGCTTTCCTCATAGAACTGATTTATTAGCTCTTTATAAAAGATAAACTTTAAGTACTTTTAAAACCATTAAGGGATTCAATCGTGAAGATGGTTTTATAGTTTTGTAAAGAAGCATGAATAGGACTTAATTCAGCAAGTTATTTGCAAACATAAACTAATGCTATCCAAATCAAGATATTAGTGCCAACATATTCTATGATATGAATTATTAAAGTCAATTTTAGGTCCACATTTTAAGAAGGATGTTGACAAAATTAGAGTACCTTTGTGGGAGGAGATGACTATCTTTTGATAGACAAAAGAGAAGACTTTGCTATGGTCAAATATTTGAAGGGCTGTTATGCTAAAGAGGAAGCAACTTAGTTTTTATTCATTCATGTAACAAATATCTAAGTGCCTCCTGTATGTTTGATGCTAGGGATATAAAGATGAAAGCTACCTCCTCTTGTGGGAAGGCAATCCAGTAAACAGAAAATAACAGTACCATGGGATTTGTATTATAATGGTGTAGAGCAGGATCTGCAAACTATAGCTTATAGGCCAAGTCTTGATTTTGTACCTGCCATCTGCTAAGAATGATTTTTGCATTTTTAAAGGATTGTAAAAACAAACAACCATAGTATATGTGACAGATTATATATGACCAACAAAACCGAAAATATTTACCATCTGACCTTTCATAAAAAAATGTTTGCTAACTCCTAGTCTAGAGTTTAAAATGAATACATAACTTAAAGGGAAACTGTTTTTCAAATTGATATAAAAAAGAACTTTCTAATAGTCAAAACGATTTAATAGTAGAAAAGGCTATATAACGACAACAAAAAGTGAGCTTCATGTCACTGCAAAATGTCTAGCAAAATTCTGTATTAGGATTTTAGCACTGGGGAGGAGATTGTACTTTGTGACCTAAAATGTTTTCTAATGTAAAGTTTTGTAACTCTGGCTTCTCATTTACTATAGATGGGGCAGAACATTTTAAATTATTGGAGTAGGTTCCTGGATCTGATAGGCAGAGGAAATTTTATCATTGCTGTTTTGTTATGCATAAGTACTAACTGTGATAATTAGGCTTTCACCAATGGCAAATGTCGTTGATGATGGCTGGTGCCAGAATGGTTAGATACCTCAAAAAAAAAGGGATCCAAGCTAGTAACAGATGTCCATACTTGAGGAAACAAGAAGCGGTTGAAAGCTGAAAGAAAAAGGCATGGCAAGTAACATACACCACCTTCCCATCTCACACACACACACAAATAATGTTGTACACTTGAGAATCATTAACTCTTCAGCTTTGGCCTGCTCCTTTAGCAAATACTTTTTCCGATTTACCTGATTTAACTGTCCAACTCCACCCTGAAATATTCTTAAATATTTAAGAAGATGCTGAAATGCTGCTTATAACTTACTTGTTACTTACTATTCCTTACTCATACCTAAATAGCTATTTTAGGTACTGAGGATTTCTGTGGGTTCTGAAACCTGGTTAGGGATATCTCTAATTTTTTTTTAGAAAAGACTCTCAGGTTCTTTAAATACGCAGCCTACAGTTAACTGGAAATAGTAAATTTGCTTTACTTGCCCAAAGGTCCCCCTTATAGCATTAGCTCTAGTGTATTTGGGGACTTTGTTAAAAACTCTTCATGATTTTTAGAGGGGTGAAGGACTGTTATGGAGGTTTAAGACTGCTTCTCTGTGCCAAGGCCAAAGAGGAACTATACCAATTGTTCCTTGGTGGCAAAAGTTGTTATTATATATCAGTTTCTCACTTTAATTCATTCAGTAAGTAAATAACTCTCTTTTGAGTACCTATTAAGTGTGGCAGGTACTTTGCTAGGCACTGAGGTTATAGCTATGGATAAAGTAGACACAGTTGACAGTTTATATGGGAAGTGGATCGACGAAAGATTAAAACAAGAGGGTGATGAATTATATGGAAGGTGTGCAGGGTATATGAGCAGTGACAGTACGCGTTTTGACCAAGTGAAGGACAGATGACAACATGGTGAGCTCTGTGAACTCTAGGTTTTCGGTAATTTCAGAACAGGGGGAACAGTGGTGTGAGAGAGGAGTCCTCACTTTGTACACAGTGTTACAGGCATTCTGAAATCAAGAGAGTATACTGATTAAAATAAGAATGATTTAAGTCAACATTCAGGAAATCACAAGAATTTTTTTAAAAATTTTTTTCATTAAAGCAGCAGTTCAAACTTTTTGGATAACAGGATTCTTTTATGCATTTAAAAATCACTGACAACTCCAGAGAGCTTTTGTTTATTTGGGTTATTGATATTTTCCATATTAGAAATTAAAACTGAAACATTTAAAACTTATTAATTCATTGAAAAAGTATATATTTTATAAAACATAACTTTTCTAATACAAAAATGTTTAGCAATATGGTCATGTTTTACTTAAACAATTCTGTAATGTCTGACATAATAGAAGACAGCACAATTCTCATGTCTTGTTTCTGTATTCAGTCTGTTGCCGTATCATACATTCTGTAGCTTCTGGAAAATGTCACTGTATCTTTTTGAGAGAATGGGAGTGAATAAGGCAAATGATATCTTAATATTATTTTGAATAAAATTTCAACAGTAGGTACCTCCTAAGAGTGTCTTAGGGCCGAGGAGCTCCTGTGCTATACTTTGACATAACAGGTATAGTCTGTATTATGTAAGATGGGAAAAAACACTAATAATAGTTAAGAACATTTGCTAAAAGTTGAAATGCTTGGGTTCAAATCTCACTGTGGCATTTCAGCTACTTGAATGCGGACAAGTTACTTAATACTTTGTAAGTTTTGTAATCATGTTTCCTCACCGATAAGATATGTATAATAATACCTATCTTTCAAGGTTGTCGTGAGGATTAAATGAAATATTGTGTGTTAAGCACCTCGACTTTGTCAGGCTCTCAATAAATGGTAGCTGCTACTGCTGTTGCTTTTATATTATTATTCTAATGCTTGTAGAATTCTCCATATGGCAGCATATGTAGGTGCTTTAAAGTATTACATACGTAAGTAAATAATCAATTTTCAGCATTACTCAGCATTTTTATATTTGAAACTTTGCAGTCATACAAGATAGCTTTGCTTCTCCTGATTTGCCTTTGCTGACCTGTTTGACACAAGACCAAGAATTTGCGTCTGATTCTTTATTTCATCAAAGTGAACTAAGCTTTGCACCTCTGAGGTAGGATGATTTATTTGCATGTAACCTTTCTCCTTTCTTGTTCTATGTTGTTACTAATATTAGTGACTTCAGGCTAAGGTGGTACTTTGAGGTGGGGCTTAGATACTCTTAGGACACACTCTGAAGGTAACAAAGTCCTGTACTAGGACTTGATGCATATTAATTTGGCAGAGTAACGTGTAGAGATGAACTAGACGACAGTAGTTTATTTAAAAATAATTCCTAATGTATTCAGGCATTTCAGGTATATTTTAATTTAGAAGACACACTGGATTTTCCTTCTCGTAAACCTCCCCATCTGCTGCTCATCATCTCTCTCCTCCCTGTCACCCTTATTCTGCAAAAAGCATTTATTTCTAGGTCACTAACTTGTTTGGCACTCTCATTTTGTTCAGCTGTTATTGAATGAGACTAGTTAGCTCTCCTTACCTTATAGGAGATGTGAGTATGAAGTAAGAAGATTTTTATGAACAGACTTATCCAAATTAACAGATACTCCAAATTCATGTCCTTTAGAATAGTCATAATGGGAGAAAAGTCTGGAATTTTCAAAACATATTTGGAATTATTCAAGAATATGTTTTCCTCTTCTAGAACTGAAAAGAAAACCCACCTTAAATTAAAAACTATAGATGTTTAGAAAGTAAAAAGTAACCTCTGTCCTTATATATTACCTTATATCACTTTTATGAAAAGTGATCTGTACACATTTTTAGATCATCAACTAATGATTAAGTTACTGTTGTGTTTTGGGAATAGATCACTTCTTGAGTGGTTTCTTTCTCTTTTTTTTTTTTTTTTAAATCTATCTAGATGGAGTCTTGCTCTGTTGCCCAGGCTGGAGTGCAGTGGTGCCATCATGGCTCACTGTAACCTCTAACTTCTAGGCTCAAGCAATCCTCCTGCCTTAGCCTTCACAATAGCTAGTACTACGGGCATGTGCCACCATGCCCAGCGAATTTTTAATTTTTTTGTAGAGATAGGGTCTTGCCATATTGCCACGGCTTGTCTGGAACTCCTGGGCTTCAGGTGATCCAAAGTGCTAGGATCACAGGTGTGAGCCATTGTGCCTGGCCTTGCATAGTTTTCAAGAGCACAATAAATGACGACTAGTAAAAAAATTAATGCGGGTTAAATGAAAAATCATGGTGGGCATCATTATGAAAATCACATTCTGTGTCTATTGTTTTAGGAGAAGCCTGAGATAATATCAGGGTTGTAGGGTGGTAGTTCACCTTTTGGTTAAAAAGAATTTTTTTGTTCGGTCATTAACCATCTTAAAGGAGTCTGAAATTAGGAGAGCTTTGTTTTTCAATGCACTTTTCAAATAAACTTGATTTTAGTGACATATGTATTTTCGTGTTAGTACTTAAAAATTAAATGTTTTTAATGTGTTATTTATTTATTTTTAACTGTATATTTTCAGGGGAATTCCTGATAAGTCTGAAGATACTGAATGGTCTTCTCGACCATCGGAAGTTAGTGAAGCTTTATTCCAGGCTACTGCAGAAGTAGCTTCAGACTTAGCAAGCAGTTGCTTTAGTGTATCTCAGCACCCACTTATAGGGAGCACAACTGTTGGGTCTCAGTGCCCTTTTTTACCTTCTGAACAAGGGAATAATGAAGAGACTATTTCGTCTGTTGATGAACTGAAAATTCCCAAAGACTGTGATAGTTATGATGATCTTTGTTCATATATGTCATGGAAGACACGAAAAGATACACAGCAGCCTGAAACCAATTTAGCTGATAAAGATCAAGTTTCAGTTACAAGTTTATCTGACATAACCGATGAAAACATAGCTACTGAAAGAAATGACCATTTTGATGCTGCTTATTCATATGGGCAGTATTGGAAACAGGAAGCTTCACCTAAGCAGACAGAAACATATTTAACCAGTAAGTACCCTGATTCTTTTTCAGATTCATCTGACACAATTGATAAAAATAAAATTTCCAAGGGAAGTTACAGTTTTAGTGTCCCCTTTTCCTATGTGCCATGGAACAAAGAGGGAACTTTGCACCACCCAGAAACATGTGTAATCAGTAAGGACTGTGTTTCCTTTCCATGTGAAGTTGCTGCTCATTATAATAATAAAATGTCATATTCTTTCTTGTGTTGTTTGTTGGAAAGAAGAGGAAAAGGGGTTCCCTTGACTTCTGATAGTCATTATTTTGAGAATGTTTATTTAAGGGCTCCAGCTGAGATTGAGGTGAAACAAAAGACGGATTCTTTGGAGGGTTATGAAGGAAATGAAGAAGGTTTACAGAAAGAATCATCTCAATGTTTTGAACTAACAGAGACTAGAAATAATTTATCTTCAGAAGTGCAACCCAGATCCTCAGGAATAAAGTGTATTAGGAATGTTATAGCTCCTGATAATTCTGTAAAAGTTTCAGAAACACATGTACTCTCCAGGGAACATGATACCTCTAAAATGGAGGCTTCTGGTGGTCCTCTTCAGACTGTTATATCCAACTTGGATGAGACATCAGAACAACTGTATTTTCAAGAGGAAAGAAACCAAAAGGGAACTTCTCTTTTTGGTGAGAAAAACATTGATGCTACTGAAAATATAGCCTTTGAGGCAGTTATTGCCTCTATTGAGCCTTCTAAGAAAGAGAGTACAGTAAATGACATCCAAGCTGACATCAATAAATATTTAACAGATGACAGCCAAGAGAGAGAACCAAAAAATCCAGATCTTTCTCCATTAAATTATAAAGATGAAAACTCTTTATTTGATAGGCTTAAACATACATGCTATCAGTCTACTCCTGGGGTGTTTGAACCAGCAGCTTCAAAACCATTGTTGCATATAAAGGATGATAATGATAGCTTCCTATACTGGCATCCAAATTTAAAATCACCTCCTAATGCTGTTCAGAAAATGTTCATTAAGCCACTTTGTGTTATTCCAGAGCTTAAGTCATGTGCTTCTTTGAGTGAAAAATCTTACAACCAGACTGTTGGTCTTGGCAAAACACAGTCCACTTTATTTCAGTGTGATATAAGCAATGAACCATTTCTTCCCTTTGGGAAGATACAGTCTGTTCCTTCTCTTGACCTTGCAGAGAAGGTAGGATCTTCAGATGTTATTTATCATGTGAAAGTATTAACTTCAGATTCTTTGGTTTTACAAGATTTAAAGCAGCCAACCTTTGAAGAAGTTGCAGATTACTCAGACTTTAATTTGGGTAAGGATGTTAACTATAGTAATACCATTAAAGGTCCACCTGCAGCTATAGGAAGCAGCTTTTCAGCAAACTTGGTGGCATGTGATGCAAAGTCACAAGGTGCTTTTACCATTGACCAGTGATGCATCATTAATTGCAGTTGCCCAAGAGACATTGCTGAAAGCTGATATAGGCCAAGGTGAAATTCCTTGGCCTGTGGGAGCTGAGTCTAGTTTTACTATACATACAATTATGCAAAATGACTCCTATTTTGTAGAGGGCCTGCAGGGGAAGGCTGAGTCTGACATCATTACTCTGGATGGCCTAAATGAAAACGCTGTTGTGTGCAGTGAAAGAATTACTGAACTACAAAGAAAGGTGAGACACAATAAAATGATAGTTGTAAGAAACATGGCCTTTTTCAGTATTGTTTCAGGAAATGGTATTGTTTGTGTTTATTTTACTTTTTACTGTTTCCTGGGTACATGACCGATGTGATTTGACTGGTGAGTACGTTGAGCTAGCAGCTTTAGAGAATTTTCATGATGATCTAGAGATGCATGACAGTTCCCTGCACTGGCAGCCTACTTTACAACTACCATCTGAGAAGGAAAGCAATTTTGAAAAGCCTGTAAGTTTTTCTATTTGACATTTTTTCTGGGTGGGGAGAGGAATATTTTATTTGAAAAAATTTCAAATTTTATTTGAAAATATTTTATTTGAAAAATTATATCTTTCATTACCAGCTTGTAACTTGTACCTGTTCTTTATCTGATATCCAGGAATATGTTCCATTAGAGGTTGGTATAAAAGAAATGTTTATGTTTCGTAGACTGTAAGACTTAGTTCTGGGGTGTCTTGGAAAAGGCCATCCCCTGGGGCTCCAGGCCTTTCATATTGAGGCAACCTAACTCTTCCTAGTTGTGCCAGCAGTAGTCTTTAGACAGTGTTAAGATTAGAGTTATTCATGGGAACATTCAGAAGCTTGTACTTTGAATGTTTCCCTCTGCTCTTCAATGTACAAGCCTTGAAACAGTCCCTGGAATATTTAAGTATTTCTTTTTAGAAGCTCCTGAAAGACTTGACTTCAGAGGTGTCTTGAAAGTTTTAAGACCCATGTTTGACCAGGAAGGATAATGAAGTGCTTAATGTCCAAACTGGCCAGTGCCTCTCCAAAGGGAAGTGTCTCCTTCCCAAATGAGCAACACACTAATGTATATACATGTCCCCTTCCCTCTCCCTATTTATGTCATTATTACCATTGTGTGTATACTAGAAACTGGCAACTCTAAGGTGTCATAAAAATTTTATGTCAGCCTTTTTTTTTTTTTTTTAAGTTCTGGGGCACGTGTGTAGAACGTGCAGGTTTGTTACATAGGTGTACACGTGCCATGGTGGTTTGCTGTACCCATCAACCTGTCATCTACATTAGGTATTTCTCCTAATGCTATCCCTCCCCTAACCCCCTACCCACAGCCAGGCCCCAGTGTGTGATGTTCCCCTCCCTGTGTCATTCTTTTATAGAAGGCTTTTATTTGCTTGGATCTTTGGATCCCTTGGCATTAATGTTCCTCTGGTCCTGTTGAATGAATATCCTCTTTTGTTGTCTGGTACTGTAAGTCCCAAGGTGGGCCCTACTTCCTTGTGATATATCCTCATATCCTGTTATTAAATACAGTTAGATAAAATAGTGATGTACTTAATGTTATTTCTCTTTTCCTGTTTTCCTATGTATAAGATTGGTATATTTTTGTAAAGCTCTATTAGTTTGGGTTACACCCACATTTAGACCTTTAGGTTCAGATTGTTGGTAGAAAATGAACAAAGATACTATGATGAATTTTTATTTATAATTTATTACATTTATTAAAATTTTTTTAACACAGAATCACTAGGTTAGTTTTATTTTCTTCAGTATTCTAAACTAGGCATTCTTTAATTTTAATCTGATAACAGTGGGGATGAAAATGATAGTTAACACTTTGTGCTCAAGTACTGTGCTAAGAGGTTACATGTATGTATCAATTCATTTTTGTCCTCTGTCAATTCTGTCAAATAGAATTGTTAGAGATTATTATCATCCCTATTTTACTATTGAGACTTAGAGGATTTAAGAACTTGCTTATCATTATACAGCAATTGGGGGAACCAGTGTTTGAAACTAACCATGTCTATGTACTTAACCACCATACCATAAACTGTCCCCCGTCCCCCCACCCCAGAATTTTAACTATTCTTGATGAAACTAAGGTTAAGATTTTGCGTTATTTTGGCAAGAGTAGAGGTTTTGAAGGAGATTGCCTAAAGTTGCATTCAATAACAATGAGAAACAAAGTAACAACTCTTAAAGTGTTCTAAATTTTTAATACTACTTTTGTGACTTATATCAACCTTTCATGTAGATAAAATGTATTTTAAAAATAAAGATATATAGGTTCAGTTCATGTGCAGAGACTAGCTTTGACCACTGCTCCAAATTTTAATCTGTCCTTAAATATAGCCTGAAGTATAATCTTTCAATCTAAGGAAGATGCTATTATTGCCTATATTGTCTTTCAGTTGTAGCTCTATCTGTCTTAGTCTTAGATCTAGGAGTTATTTAATGTCAGTATCAGAAAAGCAAGGAGCCAGATGTGGTAGTACTTTTTCTGTGTGGCTTAGCTTGCTTTCAGGGGCTTGCTTACTCCTTGGTTGCTTCCTTACACTCCTCATCTTTGTCACAGAAGAGTCATTCATACTTACTTGGTTCACTTTTATATCTACTCATCATAAATGATTATTTGGGTATCCACGTATGTATGATGCAGCTCGGAACTGTGAAAAGAACAGAGATTTGGAGTCAAAATCCAGTTCAGTTACTTTGTTAGCCTTGTGTCTTGAGCAAATGACTTTGGAGGATCACTTTCCTGATCTGCATAAGGAAATAGGAATAGTAATAATCAACCTCATATATTGTACTATTAAATGGGGTAAGTTATATAGTTCCTGGTTGTTAGTTCTCTTCACTTAGCTGAAACGAGACTATTAGAGTCTCTGGTGGTTTCCTACTTTCTATTGTTATTTTGTTTTTCTTTCTCCTTGTTCTTGGTAGCAGCACATAATTAATATGCTTTTTTTTTTTTTTTTTTTTTTTTTGAGACAGAGTTTCGCTCTTGTCATCCAGGCTGGAGTGCAATGGCACGATCTCAGCTCACTGCACCCTCCGCCTCCTAGGTTTAAGCAGTTCTCCTGCGGCAGCCTCCCAGGTAGCTGGGATTACAGGCGCCTGCCACCATGCCTGAATAATTTTTTGTATTTTTAGTAGAGATGGGGTTTCACCATGTTGGCCAGGCTAGTCTCAAACTCCTGATCTCAGGTGATCCACCTGTCTCGGCCTCCGAAAGTGCTGGGATTACAGGTGTGAGCCACCGCGCCAGGCCTAATATGCTATTTTAGTACCTCTTGTTTTGGCCATTTAATTCTAAAAATTATTTAAGATTTAAGCCTTAGATTTCTTTCCTCTTCTAACCCCCCTACCTTTGGAGACCTAGTTGCCTATCTCTGTGTGGATGATTATCACCTCTGTTTTTATACCCTGATATCTGTCTAATTTATTTTGCATGTTTTCTTGTGAACATTGTCATCACCCCAAATTCAACTTGCCCTATAGCAAAATAACTCATATTTTTCCTAAAATTAGACTCACTTGTAGAGTTTCTGAGTTTTTATGAAAGGTATTAGTATTTTTCTGGTTTCTTGGTCATCTTTCATTCTTTCTTCATTGTTGATTAAACATTGGGAAGATAAACTAATCTTGATTTCTTTTTCTTCTGGTTCTTTCCATTTTCAATTAGCAATGAAGATCTGCTGGTTTCTTAAATAAATACTTCTCATATTTTTCATTTTACATTTTCTTTTGTATTACCTACTTTTTTTTTTTTTTGAGACGGAGTCTCCTGCTGTTGCCCAGACTGGAGTGGAGTGGCGTGATCTCGGCTCACTGCAAGCTCCACCTCCCGGGTTCACGCCATTCTCCTGCCTCAGCCTCCTGCGTAGCTTGAACTACAGGTGCCCGCCACCACGCCCAGCTAATTTTTTGGATTTTTAGTAGAGACGGGGTTTCACTGTGTTAACCAGGATAGTCTCGATCTCCTGACCTCGTGATCTGCCCGCCTCCACCTCCCAAAGTGCTGGGATTACAGGTGTGAGCCATCGTAACTGGCTGGTATTACCTACTTTAATAGTTCTGTATTTTGAAACTTTAACATAATGAAATTTTTTTGACATCAAGCTTGCAATCAAAATTTTTCTTTATTTCTGTGTTTGAAAGCTGTAGAAGAAAAACTGCTGTAAACTATAAACACACACTCTCTCACAAGTGTCTATATATTATGTATGGTCATGCCACACTGTGATAGTTAATTACAGACTGCATATATGATGGTAGTCCCATAAGATTAAAATACTGTATTTTTACTGTACCTTTCCTATGTTTAGATATGTTTAGATACAGAAATACCATTGTTTTACAGTTGCCTACAGTATTTAGAACAGTAACATGCTGATAGGTTTGTAGCCTGGAAGCAGTAGGCTAGACCACTAGCCTAGGTGCGTAGTAGTCTACACAGTAGTAGGTTTCTGTATGTCACTCTGTGATGTTTGCACAACAAAAAAATTGCCTAACAACACATTTCTCAGAACATATCCACATCATTAAGTGATACATGACTGCATATTATATATATGCATATATCTTTATGTATATTTATGTGTATTTATATATGTGTGTATATATATATAGGCTGTACTTCAAAAAAGTTTCCTGTAGGAGTGAGGTAATTGAAAACTGGGAACTTTGTGCTATGTGGAGAACAGGGCTTCTTAGCAGCATTATCATTTTGAGTTGGATAATTCTTTGTTACGGTGGGAGGCGTGTTTCCTGCTTATTGTAGAATGTTTTGCAGCATCCATCCCTGGCCTCTATTCACTAGATACTAGTAACATCCTCTCCCATCACAAGTTATGACAGCAAAAAATGTTTCCAGGCATTGTCAAATGTCCCTTGATGGGTACAAAATCTTCACCAGTCGAAAAGCACTGGTCTAGAGAAACCTGTATGGGCAGTAGATGTAGATATAGAAATAGATATGGAATATTCATTTCTACACTTCACACGGCTTCCTAAGAATGTTCATTACTACACCATGAAAAATTGATGAAAGAGGATAGAAAAATTCATGCTTGTATACATTTTTAGACTTCATCCTGAGAAGATATGACTGAAATAATCTTTTTAGGGAAATAAAGACAACCTAAAATTGATATATATTTTTATGTGAGGGTGCACTGTGAATTTGGTGAAAAGTTGTACATGTTTAGGTATTAATGTCACCAATATTGGTTTCTAATTTCTTTTCTAGCAAGGACTTGTGACCTGATAAAACGTTAGGAACTTCTTTTTGAGCAGTTAACCTTTACTTCACTACCAATTTATAGTCTCCATTACTTTTGTTTTAAGAAGTTTGAGGACTTATGGTTGTTGGCAACTGATCACAGTTATAGTTCTTTGATACTCTCATTTTCCTTCTAAACATTTGTGAGTTTCTAGAAAATATTCCTGTTTCTTTTTCCTTCTTACTCTTTCTTGCCCACAGTGCACCTCTCTACCTTAAAAAGAAATACCTGAGCTTGTCAAGAATAATCCCATGGTTCAAATTCTGCAATGATCATAAGGAGCAAACTTCTGAGTAACAACACTTCTAGGCATACTATCTATAATATTTTATGTAAACAGATTTCTAAGCCCTCAGGATGATTTATAGAGTCTTCTCAGAGTTGACCCAACAAGATATGACCTATATATGAATTCAGAAGGTTTGAGATTATGATCTTAAGTAACTAGTGTAACTTCTCAGTGTTCATCTTTATAAAAATGAGGGATTATTTTTAGCAGATGAAGTTTGAAATTAATATCTTATTTTCTTCATTTCTTCATAGGTGGGTCATTCTAATCTGGGCATTAATGAGTCTTTTTCATTTTTATTGCCTTCATTTGTTCCACATAAGCTAACAAGAGAGTCGGAATATCACTCTTCAGATCTCAGAATGTTGAGAATGTCTCCTGACACTGTGCCAAAGGCTCCTAAACATTTAAAAGCAGGTATGTAGAAAAAGGAGATGGTAAATGTCCTACTTATGGATACCTTGTGAAAAAAATATTTTATTAGGTCTAATTTTTTTATTTTTTAATATCTGTAATAATTATACTTCAGATTAGATGTGTTTAGAAATCCTGTCTTAGTTTCTTCAGACTGCTATTACAAAAATATCTTAATACTTTAAGTGTGGCTTATAAACAACAGAAATTTGTTTCTTGCAGTTCTAGAGGCTGGCAATTCCAAGATCAAGTGCTGGCAGATTCAGTGTCTTCTGAGGGACTGTTTGCCATAGATGACATGTTCCTCTGTGCCCTGCTGTGGTGGAAGGGGCAAGGGGTTTCTCTGGAATCATTTTTATAATGGGCACTAATCCCAAACATGAGGCCTGTGTCCTCATGATCTAATTACTTCCCAAAAGCCCTGCCTCCTAATTTTATCACCTTGGGGATTAGGATTTCAACCTGTACTTTTCAGGGGGGCCACAAACATTCAGACCATCACAAATCCGCTGATCTTTTATTAGAGGAGTCATTTGGTTTTTCATTGCATTCTACATGACAATATTTAGAACTGAATTATATGGAGGAGTCTGATGTTAGAATCTGTTTATTCCTGTGTGTGACTTGAAGGGAAAAAGGAATTGATTGAGCCCAAGATGACAAGAGTGGATGCAAATAAGTTTGTAGAGAGGAAATTGAGAGAAATCAGTTTTGAGGTAAAAGCAAGATTATCTGCTGAGGGAGGTGAGTAGTGGTGGAAGTAGGTTAGAGGCTTTGAGGAGAGTGGTTTGGTGAAGACTTATAGTTCGTGTTGAAGTGAATTTGAGATGGAGCTGACCAAGGGAAAGTAAAAGGATTGGAGGGCAATTCTGAGAAGTCAGCTCAAGTTAGTGATAATGATTTTATAATGTTGTCAGCCTGTACAGAATCTCTGATTTGTTTTTCCTGCTAACACTCAGGAATGGAGATGATGAATTACAGTATCAATCCTTGGTTCAGGAATACATTGAATGGGTATAGTAGAAGGACAGCAGGCAAAGAGAGAAGAGTTGATCACCTATTGGTTTCAGCTCACATAGGGAAAGAGAAGCCAGAAGAGTTGTTATTCTAGGAGAAAATAAACAGAGATTTGTTTATGATGTTGATTAGATGAGGTGGGAATAAGTTATTGAGAGCACTAGAAGAATAGGCAATTTTTGGTTAGATTGAATAAGTAGATTTAAATGAGGAACAGTTTGAAGAGTGATGAAATCCATTAAATAGCCCTGGGATTGGATGGTAGAAATTGAATAATAATTACTGGAGTAAATAAAATTTTGGGTCAGGTACAGTGTCTCAAGCTTGTAATCTCAGTACTTTGGGAGACTGAGGTGGCAGGTTCACTTGGAAGATTTTGGAAAGGATTGGTATTAATTGTTTTTGAATAGAAATTACTGTGAAACTACCTGGGCTGTTCTTGTAGGAAGTTTTTAAATTACTAATTTCATCTCTTTCCTTGCCATAAGTCTATTTAGATTTTACATTTTTCATGAATCAGCTTTTGCAATTTGTGTCTTAAATAGAACTTGTCCATTTAGCTAGGCTGTCTGTTTACATATATCTGTTCATAGTATTCCCATGTAATCCCTTTCAAGTCAGTAAGGTTAGCTACAATGCCCTCTCTTTCATTCCTGATTTTAGTAACTTAAGTTTTCCCCTTCTTTTTTTCTCCCTTTGGTGAATCTAGTTAAATTTTGTCAATTTTGCTGATTTTTTCAAATAAGCTGGTTTATTTTTTCTAATCTTTATTTTTCTTTTCTGATGTTTGTTTCATTTTTTTTCATTCTAGTCATTATTTTTCCTTCATTCCATTTGCTTTGGGTTTAGTTTGCACTTTTTTTCTGTTTTTTTAAGGTGTACAGTTAGGTTATTGATTTAAGCTCTTTCTTCTTATTATTACAAGTATGTGTAAAAATTGATAAATTCCTAACCGCTGTGTTAGCTGCATGCCCGAAGTTTTGGCTTATTATATTTTTGTTTTAGTTCATCTAAACTTATTTTCTAGTTTACATTGTGATTTTTCTGCATTTACCTTTTGGTTATTTAGGAATGTGTTGTTTAATTTCCTTCTGTTATTATGTTTCACCTGATTCCATTTTGGTTGGAAAACATACTTTGTATGATTTGTCTTTTTAAGTTTTATTGAGGCTTATTTTATGTTTTAACATGTAGTTTATTCTGTAGAATGTACAGTTTGTACTTGAGAAGAATGTGTATTCTGCTGTTGTTAGGTGGTGTGTTCTATAGATGTCTCTCAGCTCTATTGGGTTGGGTTTAGGTGTTCAAGTCTTCTGTTTCCTTGTTGGTCTTCTGACTGTTTTCTCCATTTTCAAAAGGAGGGTATTGAAGTCTTCAACTCTTATTGTTTGTCTTTCTCCCTTTTTTTCTCTCAGATTTGCTTCACATATTTTGACATTATGATGTTAGATCCATGTATTTTTATAATTGTTATATATTCCTGATGAATTGACCTTTTTTTTTTTTTTGGAGACAGTCTTGTTCTGTTGCCCAGGCTAAAATGCAGTGCATGGCTTACTGCAACCTCTGCCTCCTGGGTTCCAGTGACTCTTGTGCCTCAGCCTCCTGAGTAGCTGGGACTGTAGGCGTGTGCCATCACGTCCAACTAATTAGAATTGACCTTTTAATTGTTATAAATTGTTCCTCCTTATTCCGAGTAACTTTTTTTTTGTTTTAAAGTCTGTTTGTCTTAGGTTAGAATAGACACTTCAGCTCTTATGGTTGCTGTTTGTATGGTTTATCTTTTAAAATCACTCTACTTTCAACCTATTTGTATTTTTTAAATAAAAAATGATGTATCTGCTGTAAAGAGCATATAGTTAAATCTTGGGTGTTTAATTATAAAATTCTATCTAATTATTTTTGCCTTGTGATATGATTATTTAATCTGTTTGCATTTAATGTCATTATTGATGTGATTGGATTCACATTTTCTGGCTTACATTTGGTTTTTCATGTGTCTTGTGTCTTTTTTCTTCTCTGTTCCTCTTTAATTATTGCATGAAGTGAATATTTTCTAGTATGACACTTTCAGTTTAATTTTTTAAATGATTTTCTAGGTGGTTTTTTTTTTAAGTTATATTCTTAGTGGTTACTCTGGGGCTTATAATATTTATCTTATCAGAATATACTTCTGATTTATACTAACTTAATTCTAGTGTGATACAGAAACTTTACTCCTATATAGCTCTATTCCCTCTTTTTTTTTTTTTTTTGGTGTCATTATTATACAGACTACTCACACACATGTATAAATGCCTTTAAGTTTTTTTGTTTTTGTTTTTTGTTTTGGTTTTTTTTTTAGTTGGGGACTTGCTCTGTTGCCCAGGTTGGATTGCAGTGGCATGATCATAGCTCACTCTAACCTGGGCTCAAGTGATCCTCCTGCCTCAGTCTCCTCTGTCGTGAGGACCATAGGTGTGTACCACTACACTGAGCTAATTTTTCAAAAAAATTTTTTTGTAGAGATGGGATCTCACTACATTATTGGTCTCGAATTCCTGGGCTCAAGCAGTCCTCCCACCTTGGCCTCTCAAAGTGCTAGGATTATACATGTAAGCCACCATGCCCAGCTGCTTTATATATTTTCAAATTGCTTTTAAAATCAGTTAAGAGAATACAGGAAATGAAGCATATCTTTTTGTAGTTACTGATGTAATTATTTTTACTAGCACTATTTGTTTTGTTATGAAAATGTTACTACTATCTGGTGTTACTTGTTTTTCAGCCTATGGAACTTTCTATATTCTTGTAAGGTGGATCTGCAAGTTCCCTGTTTTTGTGTATCTGGCATGTTTTTATTTCATCTTTTTGAGAGAGAGTTTTGCTGGGGTTGGAATTCTTGGTTGACAGTCTTTTTCTTTTCAGCACTTTGAATATGCCTCTTCACTATCTTCTGGCCTCCATAGTTTTGGATGAGAAGTCAGCTATTACCTTATTCATGTTCTCTCATATGTAATTTGTTTTCTCTTGTTGCTTCCAAGATACATTCTTTGTCTTTCACTTCAGTATCTTGGTTATAATGTGTCTCCCTGTGGATCTCTGTGCTTATTCTACTTTGAGCTCACTGAACTTGTCAGATGTATAGTTAATATCTTTTATCTAATTTGGGAAGTTTTCAGCCATCATTTCTTTGAGGATTTTTTCTGCTTCTTTCTCATTTTTCCCCAGTTATCATCTCTTGCATCGCAATCCACATATATCAGGACCCTTAATCTTGTCTCACTGGTCTCTAAGCCTTTGTTTGTTTTTCTTCATTCTTTTTTCTGTCTCTTCTTCAGTTTGCATAATCTCTATTCATTTATCTTGATGTTTGCTGATTTTTTTCTTCTGTCTGTCCATATCTACTGTTGAGCCTCTAGTGAATTTTTCACTTCAGTTACTGTACTTTTCAGCCTTAGAATTTCCATTTTGTTATTTTCTAGGTTCTGTCTTTTATTCTGTATTTGATGTGACTTTGCTGTCATACCTACCTTTAATTCTTTAAGCATACTTTTCTTCCCTTTGAACATGTTTATAATAGCTGCTTTTAATTGTTAGTGGCTAAGCCCAATGCGTGGGCCCTCTGAAAGGCAGATTTGCCTATTTTGTTCCCCCTGTGAAGAGGTCACACTTACTTTTGCACGTCTTACTTTTCTGTTGTTCTAAACTGGGCATTTTGGATAATATCTTGTTGCAACTTTGGATATTGATCCCTTCTCTGGGCTGGTAATGTTTGATATTTTTGTTGTTTAGTTATTTAGTGTCTGGTTTGGATTAGTTCTTAATTGCTCACCACCAGGATCTTCATTGTTTTCGCCAGTGTCCTTAGGCTTGAGCTTTTTATGCTCTGTTTCAAATAAAGTCATTCTCCTTATGGAGATGTGTGGAGCTCTCTGTTCTTATGGCTTGCCTCTCCTGGGCAGAAGCTTTGCGGCACTGCTCTGTATCTGGGGGCAGGTTCATTA